GGGTTTAGGGTATTCAGGATGTAGCATCTGTTCTTTCTGGCTAGAAGGGCCTTCATTGCTTTTAGGTCCCGCCCTCCCCCCCCCCCATGTCCAAACGACGCCAAGACCCTAAGACCCCACACCCCTGGACCCTAAGCCCTAGACCCTTACTGTAGCGTGTTATGATTCTCTTACATCCCTAAACCCTAAACGCTATAGGACTTTATACAAGAACCAATAAGCCTGACCTTTGGGACCCCGAGACCCCAAACCCCTCTACTGATCTCTTCCTGAGGGAGCTTTAAACCGAAATTTTCCCGAAACCCCGATCGAGGATCCCTGCAAAAACCTGGTGAAACCGCGCATAAAGCCTGATTTTTGAAGCCTCAAAAAACTCCCATGAACACCCCGTCCGGGCCCGAACCCTAAACCTGAAAGGTGTTGAAAGTTCAGGGGTCCATGGTTTCCTGCTTGCAAGCCGGTGGCCATCTTCGTAAGGGAGGTTCCGCCGAACTCCTGCGCAGGGCATCCTAAACCCTTAACCCTAAACCCNNCCCTAAACCCTAAACCCCTCCCCTAAACCCCTAAACCCCCCAAGAGTCCCTGAAGTCCACAAGCCGAAACCCGACGAGCCAAAGGCGCAAAAGCCCGAAACTTGCCACCTTGACAAGGAGATGAAGACGGCCCTAATGATTCGAACAGGGCTTGGGGCACAGCATGGAGTAAGCCATAGACCTAAGAAGATAGGGATCAAAAGGGAATGTGGTCCTCAGTCACTATTCCAGCCTAAACCAGTGGGAACCGAGGATTCTGGGACCTATGGACCCACATGCGACGCCCGGATTCTACGAGAAGGGTCTATGTTGGGGTCCTTCATGTTCCGAAGCTCTCCTATCCAACAGCCATGAGCAAAGGCAAACTAATGAACAGCAATGATTGTCGCGACATGCATTCTGCAAACTAGCAGCAAGCGGAGGAACATGACAGCACCCAACCCCCCGGCTGCACGCGTGAAGCGCAGAGAAGCTCCTTCACCCTTTCCCCCCCCCCGGCTGAGGGCTACGACCACGCACAATCGAGACGAGTACACAGAAGTGCACACATCCCCAGAGACTCCAATACCCCTTGATTAAGGAATATACCTTAAATCTTACTAGGGATCCTATTATAATTTAAGGCATATTCCTTAATTAAGGGGTATTGGAGTCTCTGGGTCCCAAACCGCTGACGCGAGAAAGGCGCAGGCACCAGGCCACCCCACCCGTGAATACAACGGACCACGAAACAGCGAAGGAAAAACAGCTGCAGCAAGGCAACGCTGAAAGGGTTTGGGTTTTAGGGTTTAGGGTTTAGGGTTTAGGGTTTAGGGTTTAGGGTTTAGGGTTTAGGGTTTAGGGTTTGGGGGTTTAAGGGAATGGCGCAAAGAGATATCAACCGAGTCCCCAGGAGACAGGGTCCAATACACCCGCGGTCAAACACATCTTGCGGTGCATGCCCCAGTTCCCGTGCACTGTGCAGAGACTCCAATACCCCTTAAGTAAGGAAGATACCTTAAATTATAGTAGGATCCCTAGTAAGATTTAAGGTATGTTCCTTAATTAAGGGGTATTGGAGTCTCTGGGTGTGCCCTGCTCGCAACTCACCAGCTCTTAATCTGTTTTTAGGCCCACCCGAACGAGCAAAGCGACCACCAGTAAACGCAAAAGCGAGCTGTGCCAACACGTGGGACGTGCTGACCCTAAAAGCAGCCAGCCAAACCTGAAGGAAAATGACAACAGTAAGTAATCTCGAAAAGATAAAGAACAAAAGTAGCCTCATTCTGTACTCAGCGGTGTCTGTTTGCCTCTGAATGCCTCTGAACACATGTGCTGCGCACCTGCTCAATGCTTTATTTGCTTCGTCCCTGTCTGATGAACCAAAGGTTGAGCGTTAACGAATTCTGCCCTGCAAGCTGCCCTGCAAGCATGCCGGATCAGTCCATGACCATCCAAATGTCACGCTTCGTCTCCACATAGTCCAGGAGCTTCGCAATGTGAGCGATGCCTGGACACAACACATACCAAAAGATGGACTGGTGAACGCCTGGCGAAGAATGCATCGATGCCTGTCTCCACAGCCTAGAATCCCTGTTCAACCACTGCAGCTGCACCTCAGAAGTCTACCCAACCCAGGAGCTCGAGACAAAGCTCCCCAAAAAAACAGCTAACAGGTTTGGCTAAGGGGTCTCACGGCTTGGTGGTTTAGACAGCAACTGGTAGGAACATGATTATCCCGATGCCATAGAGCTGAAGCACTGGTCACCGAGTCAGTCTTCCAATTTCCTAGGGTTCACTGGCGGGCTGGGGCTGTCAACCCCCACAAGCGGCTAAGGGGGGCTTTAAGGTTTAAGGCTTTAGGGTTTAGGATTCATGCAGGGCTGTTCTGGCCCTTGGGACCGGCATTTAAAGTTTTTTTGGGCTCCGGCTTTAGGTTTAGGGTGTTAGAGTCTAGGGTTTTCGGAGCTGCTTAAAGCCTAGACACTGGAAATCCTGGGACCTCACCCAGAACAGAGTTGACATTGGTGCCTGGATTCTGCTTCGGCGACACCTTCGGCTCGCCGCCGGCCTGACTTTAGCCGGGTTCCGGGTTTTGGAATACAAGCGATCGATACTGAAAGCAGAACTGCTGGGAAGGGGGAGTCATTAGAGTAACTGACATCTATGGTTAGAAGTATGGGCCCCTAAGATGGGCCCTTAGGCCTTTCTAGGGACCCTTAAGGGTACATATAAGCCATATAGTAAGTGTAGAAGGATCCCAGGGTTAAGGGCCCATACTAGGGGCCCATGATGACAAGTACCGCCGAGGCTTCGTACACTATGGGGAAATGATCCCGTCATAGCCAATGGGCCGAAATCCTCAAAATCCGAACTGTCAAGTTGCTGAACAGTGAACCCTACACCTCAAAGCCTGAATCCTAAACACCCTCACAACCCAAGCCACCAACCTCCACAGAGCCCTGATAGAACCCTTATACAGCCCTTGTGTAACCCTAAACACCCAAACTCTAAACCCTAAACCCTAAACCCTAAACCAAAACCCTAAACCCTAAACCCTACCCCTCCAAGCTCTCCCAACATGCAAGAGCTGTCCAGAACTTCTGTCTCCACGGGTTTAGGGTTTAGGGTTTAGGGTTGCCTGTGCTAGTATGACGGCCTAAATAATTACCAATATTCTGTTGGGGAAAATCCTTATTCTAATTATGCTATAAAGTTGCCCAAAACCCTAGTCTGATTATTTAGGCACCTATATCAGGGTTGAAAGTGCTCGGGTTTAGGGATTTCACTTTGGGGGTCTGGGGTGGGGCTTCGATGGCTCCGATGCCCATGAGTTGAGGCTTCAGTACACCTATATAAGCGCTATAGGAGGGGATGCTCGGGATGATACTGCTCACCCCTGTTGAGGAACTCGTTCGCTGGCAATCTGAGTCCCTGTTGGGAGGCTAAGTTCTAGGTACGATAATTCGAAAGCAGTACTCACAATGCCTCCTTGTTATGCTAGCCGACATGGAACTTCCTAGCCCTTTAGAACCCGTCTACAACCCCCACAAAAGACAACAACAAAAAAACTTTCCGACAAGACCTATACAAGACCCAAAAAGAAACCCTAAGGGATCGCGGAGTCTTCTGGGTGATCATACATGCGCCGGCCTCAAAGAAGTAGGAGCCAAACAGGATCTCCTTCCTCGCCGCCTGGGTCTTTATATAGGGGCTCTACAGGTTGTTGCGTGTTTAGGGTTTAGGGTTTCGGGTTTAGTGTTTAGGGGGGGAACTGCATGCACATGCAGCCGTGAGTTTATGGGCTTGTATGATACCTCTCCGCGCGCCTGTCATGCAGGGGCCTTAATCGAGATTAGAATAAGGTTGTGGGCTCCTTTCTAGTATAGCACAATGACAAGAAGGAATGATTTTGTCAGCCATGGGCCTGCATTTTATATCTACGGACCCCATTCCCAGAGTACCCCTTAATTAAGACATATACCTTGAAACATAATAATAAGGCCCCTGTAATTTGAGTATATTCCTTAATTAAGGGGTATTGGGTTCTCTGGGTTGTCTCCCTTGCTCTATCTCGCCGGGGCACGTCGGTGTCGGACTTCTTCTTCCCCGTAGTGCCCTTGGCAACCTTGCCATTATCGAGGCTTCAGGCTTTAAGCAAAGAATTTTGGGGGCTTGTAGAAGGGCTTCCATAGGCTTCAGGCCTTCACCAAAAAACTGTGGCTTTTAGAAGGGCTTCCATACCCTTTATGAGAATTTTCACGCAGTTGATGCGGGCCGTTAGAGTGGAGGGGATGGTATCGGGTTTAGGGTTTAGGGCACAGCTCAGGGTGTGGGGCTTTGGGTAACCTTCAGGAGTTTGGGTTGAGGCTGGGTTGATCTTGTCTCTCATGAGACCTATAGATTTAGAGATGACTCATAATAAAGTTCGAACGTGGAGCTCCAGCAGTATCATTCCGGGGGTTTCAGCAAAATACAGGGCCCTAATCTGGAACTACAAGGGGTGTACCACTAGCAGTTTCTCCGACCTCTGTAGAAGGACCTTGCAAAGGTCTGGACGGTATAGGTTTAAGGAAACGGGCTTGGGGTCCAAATTTAAGGTTTAGGGTTTAGGGTTTGGGGTTACTTTCAGGTTTTGGAATCTAGGGCCTCCGCCTAGGGTTTGCAATCGATGTTCTGGATTTTATTGCACGGTTTAGGGACCCCAGGACTCCAGTCCAACATGAACTACCGGCAGTTCACACGCGCGCGCACTGCCCCCAGTCCCTAAATCCCCCAAAACCCCTATGACTCAAATTAGAATAGGGGTTTTGGGATATATTGTATTATAACTATAAGAAGGAACCTCCAAAATAGTGTTTGAAATTATGTCGGCCCCTATATTACTGTTACTAATGTTAAACCCTGCACAACGGCTGCCGACCTGTTTGATCGCCACAGGCGTCCGGGAGCCGCTGCTGGGCACGGCAAGCCAGACAACCTGGGAAACTCTGTACCCCTGAACCCGAAACCCAAAATGCCAAACCGTAGGCCCCAAATCCTAGCGGAGGCCTAATCAAAAGTACATATTATATAGGCTGTGTATTAGAGTATATTAAATTATATGATCCTAAACCCTAAACTCTGAACCTCAGACAGAAACAATCGACAATGTAACAGCGGTTCACAACTACTGTCACTGATGATATCTGGCTGTTACGGCTAGTCATTCAAGGAGTTGACATAACTGGCTGAGCAGTACTATGAATCGGTCTAACCAGCCATTGTGACTTCTTCTAGTCAGCTACTATGACTGATTGAACCCTAAAACATCCTAACCCGGGCCATTAGCATCCAGTAGGTTTAGGGTTTAGGGTTTAGGGCTTTGCAGTCTACGTTCCTAGAGTTACGCAGGGACTTACGGGGGATGTCACTCTTATTCACCACTCCGACCCCTGTAGCAATGGAACCCTTCAAGGACGACCAGACGGACTAAGACAAAAAACACCATTCATAGCGTCCTGACGAAATCTTCGGGATTTAAGGTTGAGGATTCAGGCTTGAGGGTACAGGACTGAGGGCTCCAGGTTCAGGGTGTAGGGCTTACAGTAGTTGCCTTAGGGCATTTACCGGCTCCGCATGCTTTTAAGGGGGGCTTTAGGGTTTCAGGTTTAAGATCATGTTAGAGACCAACGGAACCAAATAAGGAGTAATTCTAACTAAACAAGAAAATCCCAGTTGAAAGCACGCTAAACCCCTGTTTGGGTCGACTTACGAAGTCTCCTGACCCTCCAAGACAAGGCTAGAGTTTCAGCCGTCAGGGCTTGAGGCTTCGGGTCTAGGACTTTGAGATCTAGGCCGTAATCCCGGAGACTGTACAAATTTCCACCCAGACACCAGAAAGGTAGATCTTCCGTCATGACTACACAAAAAAGGGCGGCAATGCCCACATTCGTAACAGGGCTTCACCGTCTACAAAAGGTTGAATAATGCCAGTACCGGACCACCAAGCGTGATCGCGAGGCCTCGAACTCTCAGTCGCGAGACCGCTAAAAGCTCCACGCAAGAAGCCCTTGAAACCAGATAACAAGACAATCCCTAAAACCTAAACCCTAAA